AGCCTGTTATTGCCCGGAACTCAACACCGTTGAAGCAAGAGATGGTGTCCTGAAGAGGGTCAGGCGGAAGAGAGGGAAAACAGGGGGACGAGAGGAGGGAAAACCAAGGAGAGAAGGAGAGGAGAGGAGAGGAGAGGAGAGGAGAGGAGAGGAGAGGAGAGGAGAGGAGAGGAGAGGAGGAGAGGACAGAGGAAAGAGGACAGAGGACAGAGGAGGAGAGGAGAGGAGAGGAGAGGAGAGGCAGCGGGAGCAGGAGCACACTCACCTCCTCGAAGTCACCGTTGACCACAGTGACGAGCTGGGAGGGAGGGAGGACGGGATCGAAGGCGGTCAAGGACGCGACTGACTGGAACGAGGTCTCCACGTGGATAAAGAAACACTTGCTGTGACCATGTCAGGCCAGGAAGGGGCAGCGACCCCAGCAGGACTTTCTCACCTCGCCGCTAGACAAGTGCCAGGCTTGCTGGCAGAGGTTGCCTGAAGATGAGCTCAGAGCAGGGCAGAGCAGAGCAGAGCAGAGCAGAGCAGAGCAGAGCAGAGCAGAGCAGAGCAGAGCAGAGCAGAGCAGAGCAGAGCAGACCTCGAAGCAGATGGGGTATGTCAGTCCGTCCTGGCCCGGAGCTGGAGTCCAGCTGAAGTTTCTCGTCACATTGCTCGGCCCTTCCAGCACCATCGGCGTCATCCTGGCGCCTGTAGGCAGTCCCGAGCTGGATGCCACTTGGATGACCCTGAAAAAGGGTGCCGGAGGGAGGGGTGGGGGAGGCAAGTCAGGTTCTCAGCTCAGTTGGAGTGCAGCTCGTCGATGGGCCCACCTGTCATTGACTCCCAGCACGTTGGGGTTGTCAAACGTGACGATCCTCGGCCAGCTGAGACCGTCGTAGGAGCCAAGTACCTCCCCCCCTGCCCGCAGGACCGCACTGAAGGTTTCCCCTACGGCCAACGTCTGCGGGGAGGTAGCGGAGGAGGAGGAGAGGCTGGAGGTAGGAGGGAGCCAAACTGAGTTGCCTTGAAAACAGTCTGCCCTCACTTCTAGCCGCACGCAGAGGGGAGGGGAGCAGATGGAGGAACTGGGAGGACAAGCTGAGAAGCAGGTGGGATACAGGCCTGCAGCGGTGCAGGAGGCGTTCCAGGTGATGGAAACGCCGACGCCCGGGAGCTGGACGAGGAGGAAGGAGTTGAGGGAGGAGCCGAGAGAGGAGAAGTTGGCGAGTTGAGGCGTCGAGGTCAGGGAGATGGGAGAGGAAGAGTTGATCTGAAATGAAGCAGGATTATCGTGAAGAACATTATCTGCTTCTTCTCCTCCGTCTCCATCATTATCGTCATCATCATCATCAGCAGCAGCAGCAGCAGCAGCAGCAGCATCTCCATCATCATCATCATCATCGTCGTCTCCATCATCATCATCGTCATCATCATCATCATCATCATCATCATCATCATCATCATCATCATCATCATCATCATCATCATCATCTCCATCATCTCCATCATCTCCATCATCATCATCTCCATCATCTTCTTCATTATCATCACCTGATACGTCGTTTTGTAACCGCACACGAAGTCCATGTAAGCGCCAGTGGAGACGTCCTATGACGAATCAGGTCGATTAGAAAATTGAAACCGGACAAACGAACGCACAAGGCACAAACTCGTCAGTGCCACAAACTGTTTCCTCCTCCTCCTCCTCCTCCCTCCTCCTCCTCCCTCCTCCTCCTCCCCCTACCCACCTCTCCTCCCCACCTCTCCTCATCGTCACTTCTCTTCAATCGATCACCTGCATGCCTGGGATCCAATCGACGGTGGACATGAGCGACGGGCCGGTCAATGTCGGTGGGGAGACGCTCTGGAGTACAAGGCAGAAATCCACGACCACAAACAAAGTCTCTGCGCTCCAGGGAGGAGGAAAACCTCCTGCATCAACGTACAGGACCAGGTTGACAACAGTCTTGGTCGCAGTGATAGAGGAGGAGAAGGCGGCAGGGTTGACAGTGATCAACCCCGTGTTCGCGTTGACCGTGATCCCACCTGGCATGCTGCTGGGAGATGCTGCTGGGTTCGTGCTCCTCCTCTCATCGTCGGAGAGTAGGCGGTAGCGGAATCGGCATCCTCCTCCGCTGCCTCCTGCGATGCAGTTCTGCGGACTTGCTGATCGCAGGGAGTGGAAGCCCTTGACGTAGAACTGACTTGCGGTGGAAGAGGAGGCAGCGACTTCGGCCACCCAAGGCACGTAGGGGGAGCGAGAAAGGGGAAAGAGCGAAGGGCTCGCCTTGGAGAGGAAGTCATCCTGTACCAGAACAGACGACGTCATTGCCCAGCCATATCCGATGCTGTTGATAAGGCTGGTCCACTGGCGGCAGCATCCCTTGAAGGAGGCGTTGTAGCGCCCCGACCCGCTGTAAACGTGCTCGACTACGGAGGAAGTGGCCAGGAGCAGGCAGGAGGAGTTTGCGAAGCTACAGGCGATCGACCTCGGCGTTCCCGTCACCACCATCTCCAGCAGAGCAGACCCCAGCAGGTTGCTGGGACCCTCGTCGCCAAACAAGAACTTGTTCGAGTAGATCGAAGACTGGAGGTTCAAGACGTTCAGAGCAGCGGCAGCAGCACAGGCAGTCGGCATACCGTCGGCGGCTTCATCGCGAGCACGTCCCCCTGCCGGGGCACAGCCGAGCCCGGGCTGCAAGTCTTGCATATCACCGCGTCTGTCGAGTTGTCGGGACTCCCCAGCATCGCAGCGGTCGGCGACCAAGTGATGTCAACGTAGAAGCGAACTTTCCGGTACTCCACCTACCAGCTACGTCAAGGGATGCACAGACGCACACGGCAAGTTTGCCTGCTCCCATCTCAACGTCCCGTATCTGACCTCCTGCATGCCCCCCGCCACCCGCAGCTGCGCTACGAGGAGCATGCCGAGGAGGAGCGCCGGGCTCGAACGCCCCAGGGAGCTCATGGCCCGCATGGTGACTGCTCTGTCTCTCTTAGGGGAACAAAAAGGTGCACCTGCAGGATCGATCAAGACAGGAAGGCTGATGAGGTAGCCTACGGAGCCTACTCTTGCTCGAGATCAGTTGGCTCACACTGTATCAGCACAGAAACTGACTCCTGCACCTTGCATGTTGTCCAGTGCCACAACTATCGTACTGAGTACGTGCCTGAGGGTTCAGGGTCAGAGTGCGGTCAATGTTGGATCAATTCCATTTCTCCCTCCCTCCCTCCCTCCCTCCCTCCCTCCCTCCCTTCCTCCGTTCCTTCCTTCCTACTCATTCCTTCCTTGCTGCCTGGCC